AGTCCGTGGGCACGCTCGTCCTCAGATTGTCTGATTATTCCATTATCAGCCCAGAGCTCACGGGGTCTCTGCAGCTGGGAGGGCATTTTTATTACATGCTTTTAATTATTCAGATAAAAGTCTCCTCAGCCCAGATTTATCACCACTGCCTAAAGAAAAGAAGACTTAAACACAATTCCACTTTGAAAAATCGACACTTAAAATCAAAATTATGATTCAACTGGATGTATTCTGAAAAAAAAAAAAAAAAAACCCTGCAGATGGAAACAGCTTGCTGGTTCTTAGTATTTCAAGACTGTAAGCAATTATGGCTATGTGTTAACTACCTGGAGTGGGCATGCTCTCTCTTTCTGGACAACAAAAGAAGTCTCCCAGAGCAAAATCTCTAGGAGTGGCTGGGAAAAGATCTGGCGGGAAGGTTCCGGTGGCACAGGACAGCGTCTGTAAAACAGAGGACGTGGACACAAACTGCCGAAAGCTCAGCAAGTTCAGCCTGGGTACTTCTGGGAAGAGGTCTGATCAACTCTGAGACGAAGTAAGGTTGGAAACCAGGCCCTCGGTTTTATAAACTACACACACATGTAAACACACACACACACACGTGCACATGCACACTAACACAGATGCACAGCCAGGTCAGTGGGTCTAGCAGGATTACCTTCACAGGAAAAGGGCTAAATTCTTGCTTACCTGTGGCCGTCTGTCTCCTTGTTCTGCCCTGGGAAGGGTCCCATCCAGGGCCGGCCCGGGCATCACAGAAGAACTGGAATGTACCAGACCTCAGCTCTTCCCCATCCCAGGGTCAAGTGCGGTGAGGAGAGTGGGCAAAGCACACCTGGAGAATGGCCACCCAGGGTTGGCTGCTTGTTGTTCCATGGTGGTGGGAGTCTCTGCGGAGAGCAGCTTTGCCCTGATGCTCACCCGTCCGTCCCTTCTTAGGACCTACCACTTTCAACACTTTCTTTGACTCACTCTATACCCTCTCCCTGACAGTCATGTCAGGCGGGGTTCCTCAGAGACACCGAGCTCTTAAGCTCGATGGGAAGGATTGGTTCTCATAGCCTGTGGAGGCTGAGGAGTCCTGTGACCTCCTGTGTGCAAGCTGGAGGCCAGGAGCAAGAGCTGACGTAGTCACTCTGTTGGCCATGGTTTTCTGCTCTCTCCCCTGTGTGGGGCAGGCAGCCGTCTCTTGCCTTGTCTGCCAGCTCAGACACTGATGCCTTCTGGAACGTTGTCATGAGCACACAGCGGTAAGGTTTCCAGCTATCTGGGCACTTTTGGCCCCGGCCAGTTGACACATTGGCAACCATTGCAACAGCAAAGATTTTCACTTGCAACTTTATACTGATGACTGAGCCCTTCATACCAGCCCATTCACACCCCTCCGTGGTGTGCGTGCAGTGCCCAGGCCTGCTGGTCAGCTCTGCCCCACGCTGCGGGGGCCTCGGCCTCCCACCTTGCAGCTGGACTCAGTGTCTTTGCTCTGTCCCTCCCTGACTGCTTCTCTCTATATTGTTCATATCAACGGCATCTCCATAATTAGTGCACACTACAAATCTAAGCCCTCCCTGTGTGTGTGCACATGTGTGCAAACACACACACATGCAAACACACATGTGCACACGCACACAGACACATGCAAACACACATGTGCAAACACACACACACACACTCTGAATTTCCTTAATTTGCTTAGGATGCCTGCTTCCCTCTCATGCCCACTGCCCTTGCCCACGGTCAGGTTCTCGGTTCCTGGCTACGTGACTCCAAAGGCACCTCATGGGTTCCTCCCTCCAGGTCACCCTTTCTTCTCCGCTCTGTCTTCACCTCCAGAAGACGTTTACAAAGCTTGTTTTCCAATACTCAGGGAATACGCTCCTTACTCGGCAGGAAACGCGAGACTTCTCAGACGCGACGAAAACCCCTCTGTGTGCCTGTGCAGCTCCCACTGTCCCCTCTTCAGCACCTGAACTCACGCCAGATCTTGGGATGTGATCCTGCACGTGAAGACCTTCCCTCCCCTCTGCTTGGGGAAACACCTTTCTGAGGCCTCTGTGCTGGGCACACGTGACCTACGCTCTACACAGTCAGGTCACGGGGACCAACGCAGGCCCCCACACCTGCCTCCGATGTGGGGGCCTTGCTGAGCAGCTTAGCTGGCCTCCAGGAAGGTGAGGTGGGTAAGGAGGTGCTGAGAATGGGGCTGGCTCTGGGGTCTCCTGTGACTGGTGTCTGGGATCCTGGGACAGAGCTCCCACACTCCTCCTCTCGGCCCAGCCTGGCTGGAAGAGCCACACCTTCCCTCATCGAGACAGCTGGCATCTTGGTTCTGTTCTCTTCAGAGCACTTTTCCATCTATTTTCTTACTTCTCCACCCTTTTGGCTATTCAGGGCACTTTTTTGTTTTGTTTTGCAAAAATGAGGAGATACAGGCTCGGGGAGAGCAGGTAATTTTTCCAGGCAACATGCAGCCCAGGTCCTCCAGGCTGGAGCTGCCTTGTGGAAGCTCTGCTCCCTTCCTGCCCACCGCTCCCTCCGTTCTTGTTCCTGAACGCTCAGCACTCCCATCTGGCTCCCGGGTTACTCCAGGCGTTTCTCTCCGGTTCACCGTGCACCATCACACCTTGGCTTTCCCCTGCAGTGCTCCAGGCTCCTGACTATGTGAAAAGCATGTGGGATAAGCACAAAGGCAGGGCTGGCAGCACCAGAGAGGGCGCCTTGTCCTGTGAATTTCCCTGGTGGCAGGTCAGGAGTCACACGTCCACATCAACCCAGCTTCACTCTGGTGCCTGCAAACTTTCCACGCCATTGACTTGGTAGCTGTTTCAACATTTTGGCCAAAATGCCATGTATTCACAGCTGATGTTCCCTGGAGGGGTTGATCTCACTCCTGTATGAAGAACTGAGGCAGCTGATTCAAGTCATAAGCAGAATTACAGAAGCCACCCGGCCACACCCAACTCCAGGAAGCTTTCCTGGGAAGGACCCACCTTGGGCGGCTTCTGCAACCTTGCTTGGTCTCATCTCTGGGGATGGCTGCTCTGGCAAGGATTCTCGATGTCATGTGACTCTTCTTCTAAAAATTTATTTATTTGTTTGAAAGTCATAGTTATAGAGTGAGAGGGAAAAACATAGAAAGAGAGAGGTTGAGAGAGAGAGAGATCTTCCATCCATTGGTTCACTCCCCAAACGGCCACATGTCTACGGCTGGGTCCGACAGAAGCTACGAGCTTCATCTGGATCTCTCACGTGGATGCAAGGGTCCAAGCCCCTGGGCCATTTTCCACTGTTTCCCAAGCCATTAGCAGGAAGCTGGATGGACGCGGAGCAGCCGAGACTGGAATTGACACCCACGTGGAGGCTGGTGTCACAGGTGGCGGCTTTACTCTGTGCCACAGCGCCAGCCCAAGCAGGCGACCCTTGCTTGAGGTCAGCAGCACCCTCTCTTTCTTTCTGTTTGTCTGATTTGTTCATTTATTTAAGGATTTAAAAAACATTTTATTTCATAACAGCTTTAAATTTATGAAACAAAAAGCGTGAGATAGTAACATAATGGGTTTCCATATATTTCCATCTACTTGAAAGGCAGAGATGAGAGAGAGAGAGAGAGAGAGAGAGAGAGAGAGAGAAGCAGGTCTTCCATCTCCTGTTGCATTCTATCAATGCTAGCAACAGCTGGGGCTGGGCCAGGCCAAAGTTAGGCGAACAGAATTGCATCCTGATCTTCTACATAGATGGCAGGGACTCAACCACCTTAGCCATCATCTGTTGACTCCCAGGATTGCATTAGCAGGAAACTGGATCAGAAATGAAGCAACAGAGCCCAGCTTTGTGACACAGTGGGTTAGGCTGCTGCCAGCCTGCCAGCATCCCATATGAGCCCAATTTTGAACCTCAGCTGCTCCACTTCTGATTCATCTCCCTCCTAATGCAGCTGGAAGATGGCCTAAGTACTACATCCCCTGCCACCCTCCTGGGATACCCAGATGGAGTTCCAGGCTTTCAGCCTGGCCATTGTAGCCAATTAGGGAGTGAACCAAAGGATGGAAGATTCTCTCTCTCTCTCTCTGCTTTCAAATAAATAAAAATACAAATCTTAAGAAAATAAATAGAAAAACAAGGACTGGAACCAGTGCTCCGATACAGGATGTGGGTGTCCCAAATGGTGGCTTAACCCACGTCATCACAATGCTGCCCCAAGACCTGTTTCAAAGTCACTGGTATAAGTGTAATTGACTTCACAAAAGTCACTGGTATAAGTGTAATTGACTTCACATTTATGTAGACCTGGGCTTTATAGTGACCTTCATAACTGTGAAGAATTTCTCAATTTCTTAAAAGATTTATTTATTTATTTGAACAGCAGTGTGATGCAGACAGAGGGGGAGAGATATACGGAGAGAGATCTCCCATCCATTGGTTCACTCCCCAAATGACTGTAGCAGTCAGAATCCCGCCAGGCTGAAGCCGGGAGCCAGGCACTGCTTGCTCTCCCACAGGCAGACCCAGCACTTGTATCATCTTTCACTGCCTTCCCAGGAGCATTAGCAGGAAGCTGGGTTGGAAGTGGAGGAGCTGGGACTCAAACCAGCGCTCCAGTATGGGATGCTGGTGTCACAGCTGCAGTTTAACCTGGTGCACCACAACACTGGTCCCAGAATTTCTTAACTTTGCTTTGCTCTCATTTTTTTCTCTTATAAAATACAGAAACACACATGATTGTTGTGCAAATGAAATGAAGCAAATCAAGTCACTTGATGGAATAACCACGTGAACGCCTCTGTCTGTAGGGCTTGTATCAACGGAAGAGAGCTCCACACAATGCAGTACAGTGATCATGTGAACTAAAATATCAGCATCTGTTGGGAAATTGTTGATTTATTATTATTGATTATTGTTTTATTTGAAGAATACCTGCTGTTAATGCATTTCTATTGGTGGAGATTTTGCAGGGATCTCGAGAGAAAGGGCTTTAAACATTTTTATTTCAACTTTCACAGTGTGGTAGATGCCGATCCTGAGAACTCTGGATGCACAGTCACACATGTGGTTTCAGTGCTTGGCTGACTTCGTCAGAAATGAAGACGCATCAGCAGCCAGGAAAAGGAACAAGGGGTCGGCATGCACAGGGCTGGCACAGGACTGCAGCTGCCAGGGCTGCTTCTCCAGTTTGTATCTCCTGGGGCTGGGGAGTCATCAAGGCAGCCACAGATGAGCCCCGATAACTTGCACCAATAACGCCAGGTACTGGAAAGGCCGTATCTCGTTGCGAGGGAAGTATGTTGACAAGGATCCCACACTGTGTCCACCTGGGATGCAGTTTAAATCTAATGAGTAGGTGGGATTAGCGCTGAATGCTGGCAGCTGTGAGCCTGGTTCACAAGTTTCTGGGGCTGAAGAGAGAGAACCCAGACACTGAATCCCTGGCCAAAGGCGATGCAACACACTCCTGAAAGATCGGCTCTGCCAGACAGGAGCCCAGCACACCAGCTGCAAAATGCACGGGGAATGAGGCTGTTGAAAATGTGGAAAGACACTTTAACAAAGGAAGGGAAGTCATTGCAAAGCACAGAGTTTGCTTCAACAACATGAGAGAGGCTTTGCAGAAAACACCGAACCCCTAAAACTGCAATTATTGAAATCAAGATAATTCTAATGAAACAAACAGTAAATGGGACCCTGTGGAAAGACTTGGTGTAGGAGAGGTAGATTTGAATGACTCATTCCACAAGGAGCAAAGGAGATGCAACCTCCTAGGTTACTTGTTACAGGTAATGGACCTCTCAAGAGAATTGAATGAAGAGGATAGAAAAAAGGGAGGACAGGCCCTACCTAAAGAAATAATGAATGAAAGGATTTTTTTCACAAGTTATAAAGGACTAAATCTTAGTGAACCTTAAGAAAAAATAAATGGGCCGGCGCCGCAGCTCAATAGGCTAATCCTCCGCCTTGCGGCGCCAGCACACCAGGTTCTAGTCCCGGTCAGGGCGCCAGATTCTGTCCTGGTTGCCCCTCTTCCAGGCCAGCTCTCTGCTGTGGCCAGGGAGTGCAGTGGAGGATGGCCCAAGTGCTTGGGCCCTGCACCCCATGGGAGACCAGGAGAAGCACCTGGCTCCTGCCATCAGATCAGTGTGGTGCGCCAGCCGCAGCGCACCAGCCGCGGCGGCCATTGGAGGGTGAACCAACGGCAAAGGAAGACCTTTCTCTCTGTCTTTCTCTCTCACTGTCCACTCTGCCTGTCAAAAAAAAAAAAAAGAAAGAAAGAAAAAATAAATGCGTCCTAAAACTTTAACCATGGAATTGTATGCACCCAAAGACAAAGACAAAAAAAAAGCAGAGAGAAAAGGCAGATTGCCTGCAAGACGGACAACTAGCTGGCTAGGATCCTTCTCAGCAGTGGTCAGGGAGGCCGAGGTGTGGTCACTTGAGTTAAGTCCATCCCAAGGGACCTCCTACATGGTGACACCACCGGTCTCCAAAGGCTTGCAGAATGCAAAGGTGGGTCGATTGTAACCGACCCTCCTCCACCAGCCTTTCTACTCTGAATCAGACGCCCTTTGCTACCACAAGCCAGAAGCAGGAGTCTGACTTCTGTGTCTCCCACGCAGTGCCCAGAGTGGGCGTCCCTGTCTTCACAGCATGCATGCAGCAGGTGCTCACTGACGCAGGTGGCCATCCTGCAGTGCCTGTGAGTAAAGACCGCTTGGAACCCAATGGCTCCGTGGCTTTTCTCTAGCCCTGTCCTGGAGCGGAAGCAAAGGCACCTTTCAAGGACAAAGATGATCTACTCGGGCCCGGCGGAATCTCTGCATAAAGACAAGTAGAAAATAGTAGGAATCATAAGAACCTCACAAAGACAGTGACCTGATGGATTTGCAGTTCGTCCTGAAATCCCATCGTGTGTAGCCTGGAACATCAAGGCTGAGCCGTGAGGCCCAGGTGAGAGCGAAGCAGTCCTGGTGTATCTGGAAGGTGAAGGTGGACTTGCTTCACCTCCTTAGACCTGGTTTCAAAGTCAGACTCTGGAGAGAGAGAGAGAGAGAGAGAGAGAGAGAGAGAGAGAGAGAGGAGGTTTTTATATTGTAAAGCACCTTTCTGAATGGGAAGGGTTAGCATTTTGCAGATTCTGTTAGGGTCACAGGGCTTTCCTCCTAAGAGGGGAGCCCAAGACAGGAGGGCGCTGGCCACCTGTCCTGCCAAAGCTGAGACAGGGGAGGTGCTAGGAGGGAGGTGTGGGCATCAGCAGCTTTTCCGGGGGTGTCTTTGCTTTAATACGGCTTCCTCAGCAGAGGCGTCCCTGATCACCCGACACAAAGCCTCCTCCCTCCACTCTCCGTCCGTTAGTTTTATTTCGCCTTCTCTGCTGCTGGGATGCTGTGTGTCTGTTGATGTGGCTGTCGTCAGCTCTCCCACCAGATCTCCTAACACACGCTGTTACCTTCCCAGAGCCAGGGCTGAGCAGACCAGCCTGTTCATTCTATGAATGGGTGACAGGGAAGCTCAAGTTCAAAGACATTTTACCCTGCTTGCCTCCAGGATTCTGGAAGGATGCTTTAGAGAGCGCCTTGTGCACCAGCTTAGGGGACCCACATCGTCATCAAAACCATTGTGAAATGCAAATGAGAGAAAGGGAGCCCAGGTGGGCGTCCCTGAATGAAACAGTGGTGTGCAGGTGACAGTGAGTACAAAGGACAGAGACTACGTTTGGGACAACTGGGTCAGACAGGGCTCAGCTGTGCACCCACTAGGCCATGGAGACCTGAGTCAGAATCCACAGAGCTTTGGTTATCTGTTATACAGGGAGCTCCATCATCATTCGAGACACCATTATGTGGAGCAGAATCCCCAGTGGTTCCTTTAAACACCCTTCTCCTCCTTTAACAAATAGAGACAGACGCATTCTGCATTAATATTAAGGAATAAATAATAAATTATAAACAGAAGAGAAATCCTAAGACCGTGCTGTGGTGTCTGTGCAGAGTTTTATGGTCCCTGGAGGAAGCCTCTCTAGAAATGTACATTTTCTTCCTGTTTGAAAATATTCACAATTCTTTGTTAATCCAGTTCAGCCTACCCATGGAGGGACATTGGAATGGAGCCGTATTGAGAATTCTATGAGCTGCATTCCTGCATCGCATTTCAATTACAGACACCGTTTGTCTTGTGTGAGAATTCTCCCCTGTGCTGCTGGAGATAACAGCCTTTTCAGGTCTCTGAAGTTGCTGGGGTCTACAAGGTATCTCCTAACACCCCGTAGGTGTTTGTAATCTCGCTGTAACAGAATCTTGTCATGTCTTGTTGACTAATTAAGCTCTGTCGTTCCAAACCTCAGCAGCCAAAAGTTCAAGAGTTAAACGGTGGAACAGTGAATCTAAAAGCAAGCAAGAAGGAGGCGCCCTGGGTGCCGGCTGGGTTTTCACTTCTTGCTCTTGTGTTGTGCTGTTTTCACTCTGATTTTCCAGGCACTGCCTGGCCAGAGATCCAAGTAGACTCCACACAGAGGCAAATACACTGCCCAAACTCGAGGTTGGGGACGAATCGTGCGTGATGAAGGACAGTGAATCCTCTTAGCTTGGTGTACTACAGGGGGAGGCAGAATGCTGTAATTGGTATTTCTTTATTCACACAGCCGATGCTGACTCTTGACTAGCTGCCAGACCCTGGGACAGACATCTGGGTACCAAGACCCGTTAGGAAGGATTCCTGCCCTCAGCGTACACAGTCTTGTGAGGAAGAAAGTCAAGTGGGGGATTGTAGGCCATGTAGTGAGCACTGAGGGTCGGGCCCAAGCAGGAGCCCGGGGTTCTGAAGACAGGGAGACTCTGTCCTAGGGGCGGAGTGGGGCTCCCATGAGTGACTTCTGAACTGTGAAGGACCAGCTGGGAGTGTGGGAGAGCCCAAGTCGAAGAAGAGCACCATCCAGAGTATCTCTGGGGGCCACACAATCCGCTCAGCGACAAAGCCTGAGTTTTGACTGAAGCACTCAACAGGCAATCCAAGATTCCCACTTGGGGGTTAGGCTCTGGGGAGATCTCTGGGATTGCAATAGGACACCCTGGTGGCCATGTGACAAGATGGGCTCAATGGGGAAGTGAAGGAGAACCAGCCAAATTCGGGGAACTCCTTCATGGGGGAAGAAAACAGGCAGTGCAGGGCTGGTCACAGCTGTCTTAGCAGCTTCTCAGGGGACTGAGGAAGCTCAGCCGTAAGACTGGAGGGAGGGTGGTGATCTTGTTTGGCGACCCTGCCTGCAGAGGGTGGTTTTGTTAAACAGGAAAAGACACTGTTGAGGGATGACATCATAATTTCAACTGTGGTTTGAGGTCCCCCTGGGCCAGGCAGGAGGAAATGTGGACAGTTAGCCACCCATTAGCCCCTGGAACTCATGAGAAAGTGTGGTGATGTGCAGATCCCTCATCATCAACTTTGCAGGACAGTTAACCACCAAGCATGTATACAGGGAGAATAAAAAGATAAGTGTAAAATCCTAGGGAATAATTAAAAGCCAAGAAAACCAGGGAGGTAGACTCAGAGACAAGCATGCCACAGAAGCTCCAGGGAAGATCCCTGGGAAGAGTGGCCCTGGGATTGCTAGATGCTTGGAAAAGGTCGGTCTGAGAGCAAGCCCTGTGACCTGGACTCTGCAGTTCCAAGGCTGCAGGTGAACATTGCGTGAGTAATTTCAGTGGATTAAGGAGCAAATAGAAAATTAAGTAAAGAGAATAAAATGGAGGCAAAAGGGGAACCTAGAGTTAATTGCTGTAGCTCGGTTTGTAGATGAAAAAGTTGAGGGAGGGCAAAGGAACATTGCACAGACACTTGGCAGCTGAAACTTTGGGTTGATAGGGAGGCATCAGAGAACGTGTACTTAGGAAAACGGAGGCAGGATCTCGCAGGCAAGCTTAAGCTCCAGCACAGGAATGAAGGTTACTGCCATCGCCAGCGGCAAGGGAGACCCGCGGCAGCGCAGCAGAGTGTCAGCATGTGCCCAAGAACAGTCTAAGACTGACAGGTGTGCCAGGAGTGACTGGGGATAAAGGACAACACAAGAAGTCTGGACTGGTGGCCATCACTGACCCAGAAGATGAGGCGAAGAGAGGGAGGCAGGATGTGAGAGAAGTGGGTGAAGAACTGTGAGAGCTGTCGCACGGCTGGGGTACAGATATCCTTCCGCTTCTTATTTTCACTCTACCTCTAGCTGGGTTTTAACTGCTATAAATATCTTTGTCCCAGCCCGGGCTTTGCTCTGAAGATCCCGGTGTGGGCGGGTAGCCAGATGTGTGAAAGGATCACGGCCCATGTGCCCTAGGGTTTCTGTGGCCCTTTGGCACAAAGGTTAGGATTCCCTTTTAGAAAGCTGAAAAGTGTTTCACTAATTGTGTGTGTGTGTGTGTGTGTGTTTGGAGTTTGCTTTTCAAAAATTCATCCAAGTGTGTATTACAAAAATGTGCATGGATTTAAAAAATTTTTTTTACAGGCAGATTTAGACAGTGAGAGAGAGAGACAGAGAGAAAGGTCTTCCTTCAGTTGGTTCACCCCCCAAATGGCTGCTGTGGCTGGCGCACTACTCCAGTCCGAAGCCAGGAGCCAGGTGCTTCTCCTGGTCTCCCATGTGGGTGCAGGGCCCAACCACTTGAGCCATCCTCCACTGCCTTCCCTGGCCACAGCAGAGAGCTGGACTGGAAGAGGAGCAACCAGGACAGAATCCGGCACCCCAACCAGGACTAGAACCTGGGGTACTGGTGCTGCAGGCGGAGGATTAGCCTAGTGAGCCGTGGCCCTGGCCTTTAAAAAAATTTTACAAAGTAAATTTATTTTTTAATTCCATTTTCAACACACATCCCATTTGCTTAATTCATTCCTCTAAAGATGGATATTCAGGTTGGCTTCACATTTTAGCTACTGCGAATAATGTTACCATGAAAATGAGAATGTAAATGTTGCTTGGGAATCCTGATGTCGTTTCTTTTGGGTACAAACCCAGAAGTGGGATTGCTGAGTCTTATTGTGGTTTCTATTTTAATTTCCTGGGACATCCCTATATTATTTTTCCACAGTTACAGCACCAGTTTACATTACTACCAACATTGGGGAGATGTTGATCAAAAAGTACAAAGTTAGAGTTACACAAGATGAACAGGTTCTGGAGATCTGATGTGTAATGTGGTGACACTGTTAGCAGTGTTGTGTTGTGTACTTGGAATTTGCTAAGAAGGCAGATAGGTCTTAAGTGTTAGAGAGAGAGAGAGAGAGAGAGAGAGGAAGGAAATGGTTACTACGCGAGATGATGGATATGTTAATTAGCTCTATTGCAGGGATATTTCACATTGTATACATCGAAGTGTCACTTCGCACCCTAAATATATAAAACTCATATTTGTTGATATCTCAACAAACTAAAAAAATGTGAGGAATTGTTCATGAATGTAACAAATAGAGGGGGAAAAAAAGGCTAATTGTAAGTTTCTCCACTTTCTATTTTCTTGTGTTGAAGAAACTGATCCATTGACAGAGAAATAGTAATCTAGAACGAGTTAAAATATGTATAAAAATGACTCTTTAAGAAATGGTGATCCTAATGTCACCAGAAACAGTTTTAGGTGTTGCAGAATGAGACTGGTAAGGATACTTCACCTAAGACACTGCTGGTTTATCTTCAGTGAGTAAAGCATACCATACAGTTAGTCCCCTGGGTGCTGGTGTTTTGCTGCAGTGGGTTACCCTGCCACCTACAGTGCTGGCATCTCATATGAGCACTGCTTTGAGGGCTGGCTGTTCCGCTCTGATCCAGCTCCCTGCTGTTGCACTTGGGAAAACAATGAAAATGACTCGAGTGCTTGTCCCCTGCACCCAGAGGAGAGGTCGGGATGGAGTTCCAGCCTCCTGGCTTCCTCTTGGCAAACCCCAGTGATTGTGGCCCTATGGGGAACGAACCGGTA